CCATTCACATGGGCTGTACGTATCCAGTTCCGTAGAGGCTTATGCTCAGGATTTTTATTCCGAGAAACTCCTAAATATTTATGTTTATTATTTTATCTTCGTGTTCTGCAAATAATAACATAAATAATTAGCAGTTTCTCGGAAAATAAAAATCCCGAGCCTCGGCCACTACGGTATTGTTTTCGTCTGCACATGTGTTTTGGAGTTCCGATATATTTTCTGCTCGTGTTTGTTGCGCTCTTGCTCTCGTATGGGTACAAGTCGATACGAGATGTCGAAGTAAAGATTCGCATACTCAGAGCTCTCGAGGCGCTATGTGTGATGGTATTCCCCGTACTTGCACTTATACTCGGGGAATATTTTAAGGACGTATATTCCCTAGTTATGTTCATTTCATGTGCCATAAATTTAATTTCAATTCTTGTATGATTCAGAATCACCGTTGATTTCGGGTTTGCCGACAATATTATTGGAATTGCACTAGGAATTCTGATAAATATTGAAGGCAATAGGTGAAAAATAATAATCATAGCCTTAATTTGTAGTATTAGGTATATAATTACTCATACTAGGATATGACTCAAAGAAGAAGACGAAGAAGATGTTTAAATGATTATTATTATTATTTATTTTATTTTGGGAATAACTCTAAAATTTATCATTGATCATATATATTAGAGACAAATAATGAATTATAAGAGAATGAGAGAGTGAAAAATACCTTCTTTGAGTTGATATTCCGAGATTTCAGTTGATATTGACTTGATCGTTTGTCAACAAATACTCGGTCCTCCCAAAACATACGATATACGTATATATTTTAAGGGTAACAAGGGGTAACGAAATACTTCGAGATAATGTTTGAGCATCAGTGCTACAGCATTGAAGTAACCCACGCCATATACTCCCAGAAAAGGCTCGAACGACCTTTAAACAAAGGGGTACATGTACCCGAAACCAACACAGGTGGGTAGGTCGAGAATACTAAGTGCGTGAGACAACTCTCTTTAAGGAACTCGGCAAAATTGTCCCGTAACTTCAGGTGAGGGGGTGCCTCCGCACAAAGGGGTTGCAGTGACGAGGCCCGTGCGACTGTTTACCAAAAACACAAAACTCAACAAAGTGCTATTACTTTATTGTTGGTACAAATTTTATAAATCCAAATATGTTTTTTGTATTGTATATTTGGAAATAATTTTAAGAAGAATTATAAAAAGAGAGAGATGTTGAAATTAGATAGAGGCAAATTAAATGAGAACCCCAATTTAAAAGAATTTATAAAGATTTACCTACAACTCTCCAAAATATCACTTTTACTTTCTTCATTTGAACAAAACGAGTATGTTTATCTAACAGATGAAATTGTGTGGTTTATATAGAAAAACAAAATATTCTCTATATCTATATCTTTTTATATGTCTTGAATATATATTCACATATATATATATATATATATATATATATATATATATATATATATATATATGTATATATATATATATATATATATATATATATATATACATCACTTAATGTAGATATACCATCCCAAGAAAGATTATGCGATATCAAATTAAATAAGTCATAAAGCATGCAGGCGGTTGACAAACATTGTTAACATTTCCCTCCATATATTGTACTCTATCATTTATCGTATATTATGGTAAGATATTTAACTAACTACTAAAAATAGTACGAAATATATATCATATAATAAACATGTAAAACTTAATATTTTACAATTAAACCATCCATTTAAAGTAGATCTAATTAATTAAAGTTTCAGAATTAAATTATTAACTAGGATAAAAGTCATCGTTTTTAGAAATGCTATTATCGGTTTTATTACCTTTGCTAATATATATTGCATTTTGTTTTATGTGATGTTGAACAAATTTATTGGTTTTGATTGGGAGAACAATAAATTTTATCTAAGCATTTTCTCTGTTTGCTTTGCCTTAACTAAAAAAAACACAATTGTTAATTAAAAAAAAGGTGCTGAAAATCGCACGAAACGCCCCCAATTAATGTGCTGAAAATTGCATAAATCACCGAAATTGTGCTGAAAATCGCACAAATCACCCTTAAATATACCGAATATTAATGAATCATCCCCAAACCAAATATCGTATTGAATCGCGATATCAAGCGATATTTATCGATACTTGATTACAATCGATACATATGCCGAGTTGTATTGTTTTCATAGAAATCGTATCATATCACGATACATATCGCGGCATATCACAATATTGACTACACTATTGACAAAACAATTTTTAATTTCGTATATACAATCTTAGCCCTCATATTTTATATTATTTTATAGGGCAATTTCACTAATACTTTTCCAGATGAAGACAATGAAATTTTGGTATTTTGCTAACAATAATTTATCCATGTCTTCTTCTCCACCCCTTCTTTCATCTTTGATATAATCCTTCAGATATGCTCCTCCCCGCTATCCACTGTTGCCATCACTGAAACTCTTCAATTAAGAGACAGACATACACGTCCGCAAACCCAAGTGCGCACACACACCACATAGTGACCTCCGCACACTCACACACACACACGTATAATCACATTTATGCACAATAATCGTTTGGAAAACTAGATCTACGTATTTTGTTGGTTCATTTTGTGTAGTTGCATAATTTGGGAGAGAGATGATTGCAAATATGTAAGTATTCAATGGTAGATGACCACTGAACATCACTCGATATCGCAATTCGATATAGTATTGCGATATGGTACGGCAGTGGCGAAGCCAAAAAGTTTGGTGAGGAGGGGCTTAAACACACGGGGGTTCAGGGGCAGCGGCCCCGAAAAAAATTTTGCTACGAAAGAAATTTGAGATGAAAATTCGATATGAATTTTTTTCCTTCACTTTCAGAATATAGCTAAATTGCTATGAAAACTTAAGAAACATGAATATCAAGTCGATTATCAAATTTACACAGAGAAGTTGTCAAATGCTAAAACGATCGTCGGTGGGTGGCAATTTAACCGCTATTAGTGTGACTGTGGGAGAGAATAATTTTTTTATGCTGATAATTGTATAAATCACGCAAAAAAAAATGAAAAAAAGGAAGGCTCAGCAGCGCCGGAATTTCAACAGAAGATCAGTGAAAGCAACGGACCCAACCGTATGCGGCGGCGCAGTTATCATCACAGCCAAATGCACCAGCCGGGAATCGAACCCGGGTCTGTACCGTGGCAGGGTACTATTCTACCACTAGACCACTGGTGCTTCATGTCTTTCTGCAGCAATACAATATATATATTCCTATCTAATATATTAAAAATTAAATTAGCCAATTATATTTATTTAAAAATTTCTTCTGCAGCTTTAAATGTAAATCCGGCTGCAGCTAACAAAGGATCAAAATTTTATGGATATTGCAAATAAGCTCATAAACCCAAATATATTGAACATATGTCCAAACATAAAATATTTTTGCAAATGTCCAAAATACCCCTCAGGATATAAATTGTACATGACGTCAAATTGTAGGTCCAAGTGACAAAAATTTGACTCTATTGACAACCAGAAAATTAGTCAATAAACTTAAGCATGTTTCTAGGATGCAAGGTGCCATAAATTACTTTTGGGGCGTAAAAAGTCAAATTGGTGTATTTCAAGGGTACAAAATAGAATTAAACCATCTTATAAAGTGGTAAATTTCGCGATTTTGATAAAAAAATCTGTTATTGGAACAATTGTTTTCATTTCAATTTCCAACCTTTCCGATTTTATAGGGACGTAATTGGAATTAGTTTTTCACTTCTGAAAAAAAAAATTGTAGAAGTACAAATTCCAAGCCGCTCCATCCGATTTTTACCCCTAGGAGCAGAGTAAGAATTGTTTTAGTGATTTTTCCTCAATAATCATGACTAAAATCCACAATAATTGACAATGTATCCTTAACAACTTCCTGCAAATGATGCATAATCTCACATTGAACTTCTAAAGTAAAAAACTATGGAAATAATTAAAAAAAAAAAAAAAAAAAAGGGTTAACCCAACAAAATGTAATAAACTATATACCTTCACATCTCAAAGACTCAACAAAAAAAAAATTTATTATAATAATAATACAAACTGCCAATTGCAGTATTAACTAGTTCGAAAATAACCATTCACTAGATCGGAAAAATACCCGAGAATCTCGGGATTCTGTCGACATGTTGCAACGCACGCTCAGCAATCTGCCGTGACCGATAATCTCCGTTTTGAAAAGCATCCACAAGTGCCGTAACAACAGTCGGATCACCCGAAACTTCATAAGCAATCTCTTCATTCCTCAACAATCTTTCAACTGCCCAAACTGCCCTCCTTATCAAACTCTCCGTTCGTTTCTCGAGCAACAAGTCGAGTATAGGCTTAATCCCTTCCGTATCTATCAACAATTGAACGCCCTCGTTTATATCAACTCCATCGTCCAACAAAGTTGAAATAGCCGCAAGCGAAGCTTCCACCACTTTATCATTATTATGGTCCAAGAGCGCGACTAGTTTATCGACCGCATTTCCCTCCAATAAGCAAAATGTTTCTCTCAACGAACATTTGCCACGGTGGATTTTGCATAGTCCCGTAACAATTTGGGGTTTGCTTAAGCAAGGGAAGAAGGGGGCGCAGACCCCCGGAGAAGGATGTTCCGGTAATTTCGTCAGATTCTTCGATTCTTGAGATAGATTCTCTAACGCCATAGCCGATGCCGTTTGTACGTTGTCGAGCCCGTTCGCTTGCAAAAGTTCTACGAAGAGAGAGGCGAGATTGTGGCTATGGCAAATTGCTCGAGCGCCCTCGTCGGTTAAGGCGAACGTGATTCTTGATAGGACCTTCACGAGCCCTTCTAAATAGGGGGTCATAAAACGGCCCCCCCTCGCCCCCCCTTGTCGTATTTTGACGATTCTTGAAACGAACATCTCGAAAACACCTTCGTCGAGCATTTGCCTAGTAAGCCCCGAATCTCTCTCAGGAAGATCCGCTAGTAAGCCGACTGCCGCCGCTTGCTCTTCCGTTACCATACCTACGTTTTCCGTTATAACCCTGATTAGGCCCGAAAGCGGGGCCCGCAAGCAATCGGCCAATTCTTGATCCATGTGCGGCGAGAGGTTCTGAAGAAGCTTTATCGAGGCCAGCCTCAGATCGCTCTGGGGGGCCTCGATAAATTGAACTGTGCTATTTATAGCACCGGAGCTTTTAATAGCAGAAACGACGCTAATTACGGTGGAAGACGAATTCGTGAGACCGACGAGAACTTGGAGAAGTTTGGACCCTATAGTGGGGCCCGTATTACTAATGAGGTGTAAAAGGTTGTGGATTATTTCCTCCGAGACGAGGGTTTGGTGATCGGGCCCCACGGGTATGTAATCGAAATCGTGGCCCGAATTCACGATATTGGAGAGGATCGTCGCTGAAACTTCCTTGAGGCGCATCGGGAGTTGTTTGGCTCCGACGGTGAATAGGTCTTTTACGAGGGGCGGAAGAATACCGGCCTCGATCAAGACCTTAGAGCTGGCTTCGTCGGAGGAGATTTGATTTAGAGCTTTTAGAGACGCTTCTCGTGACTCTATAGCGCTGCTCTTCATTAGATTGATTAACGAGAAACCGACCGTTCGGGCGACGAAGAGCTTCACCTCGTTGTTTGGAACTAGTTCGCCGAGGAACGATGCCATTGATAGTTTAGTTTCGGGAGATCCTGCAATAATTAACATTGATAATTATTATTATTATATATATTACTTTGTCATGAGTAGGAGTGCAAAATAATTGCAACGAAAATTTCGAATTCTGCCGATTCTTATCCAAATATTTCTGATTTTGGAATAACATTTGTCATTCTGAATCCCCATAGTTTCGATTTCTGATTTGATTTGAGAACGGAATTGGGATACATATTTGATTTCGATTTCCGATCTGATTTCAATTTCCGAAAATATTCGCAAAAAAAAAAAAAAAAAAAACCAATTTTTTTCTAAAATTATGCTAAAAGTATCAATATTACTATGCATTTTTTATTATAGGTGACTAAAAAATTGAAAATTACAAATTCCGCCGATTCCGATCCAAAATTTTCGGATTTCGGACCAAGTTCTTTCGTTCCAATATCAGAATTTTGATTTTTTTTTTTCTGATTTTCTTTTGGAATGGAATTCGAATTAGTTTTGCACTTCCGAAAAAAAAATTCCGCTTATTCTACACTTAACTCAGAATCACTGACTTTTGCTGATTGTAAAAGCTTTTGCAAAAAGTTGACGAGATGTACCTTCGAGTAGTAGCGTAAGAAGCGGCTGTAATCTGCCGCATTCAGCCATTTGTCTTACATTGTTCTCACACTGCGCAAGATTATCAAGGGTAAAATCGGCTTTTTCAACAGTCAGAACATCTTCCGAGTTACTGCTAGCCATTCCTACTAAAATGAGAACCGCCCCATTAACCGAACCAATCTTCTCACATAGCTTCTCCGATTTAGAAAGCTCGTACAACAACGAAACAGCTTCTTCTCTCTCCTCCGATTGCTCGTGTGACAAGAATTTCACCACCGTTCGCACCGTGTCCCCTTCCGCCATTATTTCCTACAAAAATATTTAGATTCAAAATTTTTAAAAAAATTAAATAATTCAATAGAAAATATAAATACATCAAAAAATAAAAAAATAAAAAAAAAAAAAGAAAAAAAAACCCACCTTATTATCGGAATCATCTTCGACAACAGATCGAAGGGTTTCTAGAGCTTTCCGTCTAACTCGACGACTACTGCTTTTAAGCACATCAACAATCATAGGTATCAAACCAGCATTACGGATAACATGTTTATCCGACGGGTTTTTTTGGCACAAGTGCTGCACGAATCCCAACGCTTGTGTAACATCGTTCTCCGGGCTGGCCAACGATAACGATTTGCGGGCCATGTCTATTTGAGCAGCTTCGTTTCTTGCATTCCACTCTTCGATTGTGTTTCGCAATGCAATACTCGGATTGAGTTCCGTGCTTTTCAGCTCCCTCAGAGTTAAGGGGCAAACGGGTCTTTTTCCACTCTCCCTGCACTCCCTGAACCATTTCTCGATTGCTTCTCTCTCGAACGTTTGCCCGTTTTCGAGAGTGACGGGGTTTCGCATTACTTGCTTGGTTAGCGGGCAGATAAATGCATCGTAAATTGGTTCGATGTGTAGCTTGTCGAAATGGTGGCTTTCGTCGCCTTGCTCGGAAATCGAATCCCAATTCCCAGCCATGATAATTTTCAGATTCTAACTACAAATTGAAAGAAATAATAAGACAATAAATTGAAAAAATAACACCCAAAACATTTCAATTGAATTTCAACAGCATTTCGAAATCCCCAACATGGTTAAATCAAGAACTGAATTAAACCCTAAATAAATAAAATTGAGCAAGTGAGCAGATAATTTAGTAAACATGGGTCATCAATTTCAACAAGAGAATTACAAAAGTTGAGATTCATTACCTCAAAAGGAAAAATCTTGAAAGAATTAACACAAGCAATTGATGGGCGAAGTAATTTCAAGAAACCCAGCAAATAATTGAAGCTAATACTTCTGATTCCTCCATGAATATCTTCCTTCAGTTATGGGTTCTTGCGGAAAAGGGCAAAAGATGAGAGAGAAAGCAAAGGAAAGATGAGAGAGAAACAAGAAACAACGTTTGATTAGTTGTATGTTTTGTAAATAATGAAAAAGGAATAATCTTTGACTGTAATTTTAATGGAGTCATCGTTTTTCTTTGTTGTTGGACTGAGTAGCGATGTTGTGTAGAAACTAGAAAGAAATAGAAGAGAGTTAGAATTAATTGTTTAATATTAAATGATGAATAAAATAATTAATAGATGTGTCTAAATTTGAATGCTGAATAATTATAAAAAAAAATGTAAAAATATAATTTTGTTAAAAAAATATGAAAATTAATTTATTTTTTTTATATATAAGTAAAAACTATTGAAAATTAAATATATCTAAATTTATTAAAGTCAATAAACTAAAGTAAAATTTTCATTTCTTAGAAGAGTGGGAAGGGAGAATTATAACAATTATGTTTTTTTATAATTAACTTTATGTATAAAAAGGAAAATATAATACATTTTTAGTATACAAACAAATTAATATTGGTTAAGAGATTTTGGGTATGTCAAAAATATTTGTATTGCATTTTATTAATGGTGGTGATCTATATTATGCATATTTGCATTTTAATTTTAATTTAAATTTAGAAAAAAACAAAAGTTGGATGGGTTACTAGGTTATATTATGAATATTTGTGACTTATACTCTTCCAAATCAGGATAGTCATATTTTCGTATTTATTAAAAGTTTCTCGTGCAACTTAGTTAGAAAGCCTACATAACAAATAATCATCTTAGACTGAAAAAAAACATTTTTTTCAATCTCCCGCCTCTCCTTACCACTCCCCGATCACCGACCACCTAAATTCCTCTACAACACCATTAGAAAAAGGTTTTTTTTCATTGAAGATGTCTATTTGCATTTCGAATCCTCCAACTAACTTGTTCGTTTTCAGTATAAACTATCTATTTTCAGCGTAAACTCTTCAACTCAGTTTGTCTAAAACAAAATGTCTTACCTTCAACTTCTAAAGTGACACGTAATATGAGAAAACAAATATATCGAAAGTTACACTTAATATGAAACAGATGTAGTAACTTATAACACTAGTTTTTAAAATGAATAAATGGGTAAATTACAACCATCCCCTGAGGTATAGTCAAATTACGAAAAAAAACTCCTCCTGTTTGGTAATTACAACCACACCCCTTAACTATAAATCTTCTTACACGTCCAACCTTGTGGTGTCAGATATAGTGGAATCTTCTAGATTATATGGAATATTCTCAATTATGTACCCTTTTATCTCATTCGAGCTCCAAATTTTGAAGCAAAATGATCATAAGATGTGTTTTTTGGCTTGTATAAACATCAGATTTTGGTACTTCATAAACTGCATTTTTGCACAAAACGAGTACAAATTAGATAACATTCCATGGAATCTAGAAGATTATGTTGAATTTGGCACCATAAGGGTGGACCTGTAAGAAGATTCATAGTTTAGGGGACACTTGTAATTATCCAAACATGAGGGATGTTTTCATAATTTAGCCATACCTCAGGGGTGGTTGTAATTTACCCTAAATAAATTGACAAATTTGAATTTGTAATATATTAATTATATAAAATATTGTTACAGACACCCAACAAGCACCAGTGGTCTAGTGGTAGAATAGTACCCTGCCACGGTACAGACCCGGGTTCGATTCCCGGCTGGTGCATTTGGCTGTGATGATAACTGCGCCGCCGCATACGGTTGGGTCCGTTGCTTTCACTGATCTTCTGTTGAAATTCCGGCGCTGCTGAGCCTTCCTTTTTTTCATTTTAATTTTAATTCTTTTTTATTAATTTGCTAAAATATCATTAGCTCGGTTGTTTTGACTGGCTCGAGGTCGTCAAGCTTCCTTTTTTTTTTTGAACTCGAGTCGAGTCCAGCTCATTTTGGTTTTTTTATATTTTAAAATCAATTTTTATTACTAAAATTATTTAGATTATAATAAAAAAATTACAAAATAAACAATAAAACTGTAATATTATATATAATTTTTTTTACTATTTATATGTTCTTTTTATAATATTTCATATTTTATATTATTATACATTATTTAAATAAAAAAAATATATATATATAAAAAAAAGTAAGGACTCGTGAGCTCACAACCTAAAAAAAGCTTGAGCTCGACTCGTCAGAAATCGAACTCACGAATCGGCTCAGCTCGTGTACTACTCTACGGCGACTATTTAATTGATGATGATATAAAATAAAATAAAAAATCTTATTTTATGAACAAGGCCAAGCCCACCACAGTGGTCCAATTTGAGCCCAAATCTGTAAACTTCAGCTGACACGACAAGCTACCAAATGGCAGCCTATGATTGGCTAAAAACAACACAGATCTCTGCTGACATGTCTTACTATTACTTTTTTTTTTAATTCTTTTTTTTTCAATTTATGTATTAAAAAAAAAAAAAAAAGTGAGGGTAAGTAAGTAAATAAACCCCAGACCAGCAGCAGAAGAAACATAGATCAAAGAGAAGAGAAAATCGAGCTTAAAAATGGCGAATTCCATCTTAAATTTGATACTGATTGTCTCTATTGCTATTTTCTCAAATTCGACCTACGCCATTGACGATAAATGCTCGGCCTGCAATGCGATTGCCGTAAGTTTTTTTTTTTTTTTTTTTTTTTTAAATCAGTTATGCAATTTTTCATATTGCAGTTATTTAATTCGTATATTATTTTCATTATTTTTATTTATTTTTTATGAGTTTTTTTCAGGAGGAGCTGGAGCGCGGATTATTGCGTGTAAGATTTTACCTTTTTTTTTTTTTTTTCTAAATTATGTGCAAATTTTTTGTAGATGAGAGCTGGTAATGTAGTATGGAACATAATTTTGTTGGATTTTGTAAGGATATAAACAATTGTTGGAAGAAATGAAGCTTTAAATGGATGAATCATAAATAAATGGATCCCTTTTAGTTGCAGTTAGGTTTGTTTGTTTAGATTCGGAGGTTGTTCGATCGATGTATTCGGATTTAGGGATTTACATTCAAGGATTGCAAATGGGTAGAATGCTTTGGTTTTGTTGAGGTTGATCTATAACGATTGAAAAAAAACTAGCTCGTAATACTTTGTAATCGGATTAAGGAACAAAATTTATTAGCAACAAAGAAATACTTGCATTAGTGTGTAAATACAGCATGATTGCTAATCGAGACAGTCAAATTTGATATACTTTTGCTATCACAATATTATTTCGACACGTCACTAAACAATGGTCATAAAATCGATTTCAATCCACAGGAAAAGCCTAGAAACCATTTGGACATGAGACATCGTTTGGATTCTAAAGGTCAGCGTCAAGGAAAGCTAATAGATTACAGGTATTGGCTAAACGATTTTATTTATTTATTTTAAATATTATTTATAAAAAAAAAACTCAAATGTTTCCCGTTTTTTCGCTTGCAGAGTCAGTGACTTAAGGGTTGTTGAACTCCTTGATGGTCTCTGCGAAAAGATGCAAGATTATACTCTCGATAAGGTAATCTGGCTATTCATATTTCCCTTTGAAGATGCCACTATATTATATTCTTGTGCAATGTATGTATTCGAAAAAATGTTTGTGGATGAACTTTGTCGTGATTTTCTTGAAATATTTTATGACTTTCCCTTCGATTTGATTTAAGTCTTTTTTTTTATATATTGGCAGGTTGATTCGAGTAGACAAACATGGATCAAAGTGACTAACTGGGACAATCTTGAAATTAGTACGTATCGAAACTTAGTTTAATATTCTTACTGTACTTGGTTCCCTGAGTTTTTATTTACTTTTTTCTTTAAACTCTTTTGCCTTTTGTTCAAAATTCAAATGCATGCTGTTGAATAGTCGTGTTCCAAAAATACTTGATATAATGTTTTACGTTAAAGTAATTTCTCGTTGTAGCAGTTTATGAACTTGGGCTGTCCTGTCAATTATTATCAAGATTAATAAGATAGGGAAAAATACGTAGCTCCGTGGTGATTTTTTTGTATTAATATCTTGCTTCTAATGATCTGATGGTAAAAGGGTTAATGGGCGTTAACTTCAAATTATGCTCGATTTAACGAACAAAACACAAATATAGGAGCAGATGGATTTATCGATTATTTATGCCTGCCAAATAAGCCGTTTTTCCTGTGAGATTTGTGTTAACTTTTGCCTTCTTTTCTTACTTATACAGACCAGACTATTAAGGTACCGTCCCTTTTTTTTTTTTTTGACGAATATAACGTCCCGTTTTAAATTATTATATTAGATAAACAAGAAGCTCGAGCATATTCGAAAGACATCTCAAGTTTCTGTGGAAGGTTGCTCGAGGAAACTGAAGATGAGGTATAAATATTCTATTCCCAATATTTATGGTAACCTTTTCTCTTATTAAGTTAAATTTCCGACATAAACAAGTATTTGTTTTTAAAACAAAAACAGCTGTCGGAACTGATAAAGGAAGGTTCCGTTAAAGTCGGGGAAGTAAATAAGGTCCTATGCCAAGACCTCGGCAGATACTGTAGCCAAACGAGGTAATTTTTTTTTTGATAACGAAGATCATGATTTTTTATAAGTATTCGTCGTTACTATAAGATTAGTAAAAAGCCACACGATTTTTAACGAACTTCTCTAATTATACAGTGGTAAGCAAAAAGTAGTTGACGATGAAGATACAAGCGATGGGGAAGGAGAGCTCTAAGAGCCACAGACGATTGTCGTTGGAGTCGATTGAGCATAGAGGATACTTCATTGTTTGTTAGGCATGGTCGAATACGAGCTACAGCTGACAGCTGGCACCGGGTAAAATATCTATATTCATTCATGTACGTACGTACACATGGATGTGTGTGTTTGTGTAACAGAAATGTTAGTTGCTAATTCAAGCATCAGAAATATTCATGGAAAACTCGATATTTAATCAAGTCAATTGACTATAAACAATCAATTCAAAACCTCATCCAATTAAAAGCAACAAAATTTCACCAGAAAAAAAATTTACATTTCTTCCTCATTTATCGACATATTTAGCCCCGAACATCGTTTTCCTCATGCGTTTATTGCATTCAACCCCCCCTATATTTTCTCTAATTGTCAAAAAAACTCATCATGTTATTTTATTAGCGAAAAACCCCGACTATTCAACTTTTTTAGCAAACGGCCACCTAATAACTCACTTTTTAGAGGGTCGTGCGCTAAAAAAATACACTATAAGGGGATTTTTGCTAATAATCGGAACACAGGGGTACTAAATGCAATAACATATTTTTCCCTCACAAATGACCTTCCAAGGCACCTTTAAGAAGATTAAGCCCCTCCGCGGAAATACTCCTCCTCACTCTTCCCGGAGCAATCTCAACCCTCGTTGGAGGATCCACCGAGAAACAAACCACAACCACCGTCAAATTATCGCACGTATTTCTCTTCAACGCCTCGCGCACCAATTCCTCCGAGCATTTCTCCGGGTCGTTATGTCTCATCAATTCTTTCCTAGCAATCGAGACCGCACATTGGCTACTCATAACCTCCCACAAACCGTCACATGCTATAATCAAGAACTCGTCGTCTTCCGTTAGTATGGTTTCTTGCAATTCGGGCTCCGAGGTTAGTGGAGAAGCGGACCCCTTGGCCCCCTTCATGTGCCAGTCGCCTATGGCCCGCGATACGGATAGTTGACCGTTTAGGTACCCGTCGAAAATGGATCCTCCGAGTTTTTCGATTCGGAGTTTTTCCGATGTGTAGTTTGGTTTGTGGTCTCGTGACATTTCGACTGCTTTGCCTCGTTTTCCTAGCACGGCTCGACAGTCTCCCGCATTGGCAACTATCATTTTTCTGCGGGGGAGTGTTGAAAAATTATGTCACGTATGTAAAACCCGAAATAAATTTCCTTTCAGAAATAAAGAAAAAAAAAATACAATAATATAGCAATTGTACCTTCCGGAAATGAATACGGTCAACGCAGTCGTGCCAGATGATATATCGAGAGAACTATCATCCGCAAACGCGTAATCGGCTTTAAGAAACGCACTCTTTATCGCCTTCTCCAAACAAACCGGAAAAAACGAATCTTCAACTATAAATTTAAGAATATTATTCCTCACAAACAATGCTGCATCTATACCTCCATGGCCGTCAAAAACCTGCTTAAATAAAGCGAAAAATACTCGATGAAATAAAGCGAACACTCAATTATTAAACGATATATGATAATAATATATAATTGAACTTACGCCGTAAAAAGCTCCCGGTAAAGTAAAACCCGTAAATTCACCTAAATGTCGAGGCAAATTATCAATGCACATGTGCACGTCTTCCATATACTGCTTCGGTCCTTTCTCAGCACAACTTCCCGATCGGAAAATTGGTTGGAAGTTCGATTTTATATCCGACGGCGACTTTATTCCCGTAGCTCCAATCTCGGAATCCTTCTAAAATTACGAAAACTTGCATATTATATACTTCAAAAAAACAAAAATTAAATGAAATCGAATATTTAGAAAAGTATTTACCAACAACTCCGTGGGCGAAAGTAATGTAGCGGTGCTGATTGAATGGCGCACGATAGATAGATGCCGAGGCGGTCGACCGTTTAATTGCTTAAAGTCGTTAACATTATCCGAAATTTCATTTTTCGCCACCGGAATTTCTTTGCTATTATAACAAGCTTCGATATCAGTTAACATAGGCGAAAAATCGGCACCAGCTGCCATATTTCTTCCTAAACACCAACCTCAATATCTTTATACACAGAATTCTATATTCCAGATAAATTTAAAAAACTAAAAAAATAAATTTTAAAAAAAAAAAACTATTGATTCGACTAATAAATTCAATTAATCAAACCCTAAACACCGTAAAATTCAAATAAACTCAAAAGATTTAGACTTTGATAATTTTGCCCTAATCACAAATCAAAATCGGAAGTGTTTCACAGAGATCGAACAAAAAAAAATCCCTAAATAGTAAGGAATTTAATTAAGCTAATATTCACTCGATTAAATCAAAATTTCCTTTTCTAGTAAATGAAAATCAAAATTCAAAATTTAGGTCGAAGATGAAGATAGATCAAACGTAAAGAAAGAGCATTTGTCTCTGATTCAATTAATAATATGCAAATGCTCTTCCTTTTCTTTTTTTATTCAATTAATAACAAAATTCAGAACATAAAATTAAAAAAAAAAAAAAAAAAAACACAGGAAAATTTGTGTGGAGAAATTGAAAGAAATAAATGAGAAAAGGGATCGGAGTTTTCCGTTGGTGACCGGCGATTACAGGGAAAGCTAGATTTAAAAGTTACTGACACGTGGAGGTTTCTGGTTGGTTGGTTGGTGAAATTGAATCCCGACCGTCAGATTAGTGAGTCTATTTTGCCTCTTGCAGTTTTGGGAGGGTAGTTAGTTGGCGGTCGTTAAAAAGACGATCTGATTACTTGGACACGTGTCGACTTGCTAGTGGATGTGCTTGGGTGAGGCGAAAAACAAAATCCATAATTTAAATGGATATTGCATTGATCGTATTAATTTCTTTTAATTTTTTGAGTTAAATTGTAGATATATGAAAAAATAAAACCTATAATTTAAATGATGGATGCATTTTATTATTTGGCATGTAAGAGAATATACAAATTATTTTGCCAATGTCAATAAAAATGTGAGCATCAAGTATTGATGAGGCCCATTACCCCCCCGCCCCCTTCTCTCTGTCTTGGCCTCCTTCTCTTATAGCCACTTCATTTCTCTTATCCTCATTTTTCTGCCTTGAAGTGCGTGCCATGGAGATAAGGAGAGAGATGGGCCAGGAAGTTAATGGGCCGGTGGATTGACGGGCTTGAGAGAGAGAATAGGGGCTGATTGATGGACTTTTATATATGGGCTTCGGGTTCCTATATAATTTGGGCCCAGTACAAATTAGTCCAGATCAAGTATGAATTTGTTTAGTAATTAAAATTTAAATACAGCATATTAAAGGACAAACATTTAAATTTAAATAAAAATAAAATATTAAATGGAAAATGAAAAGTATTGTGAACTAGAGTAATAATTTAAAGAACCAATATAATGTGTATAGATTTATTTTTAGAGTTTTAGAGTTTTGTTTTATTTTTATGTTATTTTAATTTTTAAACATAATATTTACAATTAAATATTTAAAATATTTTTTTTTGTAAATGTACCGGGTTATTATCGGCCAACCGAATTTTAAGTGAACTGAAAACTACTAACCGACCCATTTATTTATGGGTTGGTTAAAAATTACTGATCCAATATATGAATAAGTTAATTATTTATTATCAGCTACGAAAAATGGGTAAAATATAAGTCAGTTGGCTGATAAAATGGATCCATACCCAACCCTAGTATACATATGCCCGCCCTTGATTTATATATAGTTCATGTAAATGAAATAACGAGACAAATCATTAAAAAGTTCAATAAATGTGAAGTTGTCCAATTTTGAAACACCACTTATTTCTTCCCCTTACCAATTTAAATGTCTTTACAATCCCATGGGGGCCATGGCCCCTCCAAGTTCATTGTACTCTAAAAAGTCACACGCAATTAACACGTGAATTTGTCACTATCTACTGTTTTTCTTACTATTGTAAGCCCAACTGAAAATTCGGACAAGTAAAAAATAATTAAGTTGCACTACATTAGTAATTGCACTTGGTTCCTTATCTTACATTTGGGATTAAATTTATTAAGTATGATACCAAATGTGATTCTACTATATAATATTGTTAATAGCTTTTACTATTTAGCCATTCAAATTTACTAGTGAAAATTGAACATAAATAAGCCGACTGAATTGTTATGAAATTGTCTGTCTGCCCATCCGTTTAAGTCGCAATTTGTTTATGTCACATAACGTAATATAATAAACGCGCAAGAAAAATATATATATGTGTGTATGTGCGCGCGCGCGTGTAAATTCTACTTATATTGATCATTACAATAGAGAAAAAAATAATTACATCAGAAAACTGTTTAATATCACTTAAGCTAAATTATAATAGTAAAGGATTGTTGGTTTATTTGACTTAATGTTACACTTGGTGAAATACATCAGATGATTATGAATCGTTGATCTGCACATAATCACACACAGCTATGTGTATGAGTCTTTCTCGGTGGTTATTTAACAATATCAATAGTTAAAAATACCCGATATATATGACCCGATGCACCATCTCAATAATCAGGATTATCGATAGACTTTTCTATAATATTTTTTATTTGATAATCCAAATAATTCTAGCTTCTATGGTATTAATTCTTAAATCCTAAACTTAGGAGGGCCATTGTGATAGTTTTCCATAATTGACCTAATAATCCAAAACTTGTGTTACCCTTCAATTATTCTTCACTACACCAAATCACCATTACCTTACAACGTAGTGTCAAATCATGTTTCCCAAACATATCTTGTAATAATCTTCTAATTTTTCCACAAACTTTTTTTCTTTCATTTTTGGTAACTGAGGAACCACAGTCAGCTATATAGGTGCATACTGTGAGTAATTTGCACTATTGTATAATAGTAGCACGGAAATGAAAACGGGTATACGGGAAAACAGGGAAATGGGTCTGGAGAACCAGCATGTTCTGAAACTGAGGATATGGGAATTTGGGGAACGTGTAAATAATAATAATGTGGGGATATATTTATAAATACTCTTTATAAACATATATAAGTTTTTATTTATATATTAATTCTTTTTAGATACTTATTATACAAACATATTCAAAATAAAGTTTACTATCAACTATCAAATCGCAATTGATCATTGAATCATGTAAATAATTTTGGAAGTAACAAAAATATTTAAAAATTTGTTATTCAAATTGATACCATATGTTATAGCTATGAAGATTTGTGTGTTCAGAATTGCCAAATACCTAAATTTCCTAGGAAAATAGTGTATTAAAATTTCATTTAATTGTTCAATGTATGAATGAAATTTTATATTAAAAAAAGAAAGAAAAAACAAGTTTCTTACTTTTCTTGAAATTGCAAAATGACCTATAAGGTGTCCTGACATGTGTCTTTGACTGATATGAAACGTTTTCAAAATACAAAAATGTTAATAAGTTGAAGTTTTCGTGCTACATAGCAGTTGTAAATTATACGAGAGACGTAAATCCCACTATACAAAAACCACGTGTAACAAACTAAACCTCGCGACAGCACTAGAGTCAACTTGAAGAATGAGTGGCTTAAAAAACCCATGTCTTCTTGAACTTGTATTCACACTTAGACAATGGTTTTTTTTTTCTCTAAACCACATACACATTTTCCATTTCAACAAATTCTCATACTTGTTGACCATTATATTATATAATATAATGTCAAAAATCCCATCTTTATTACTTTTCTTTTTTTCTTTTTTGTTTCCATTGATGAATCTTGCAGCTGCATTTATTATTACACACACATGAACAACATGAAGTCCACACCTACACACACACCCACCACAAGTTAATTGTGAGATATTACGTTGCAATCAAATCCATTTTAATTTCACATTAAATTTAATTAATTTGTCCCTTTGTCTGCAGGTTGTTGTTTCAATTCTTGGGTTTTATTTTTTAGTTCTTTCCTCAGATGATTTTATTGATTTGCCGACGTGGCCCCCACTATTAGTGTGTCTGTGTGTGTGTGTGTGTATTCTTTGGTTGTTGTCTGTGGTTTTCCTCCTCTGAATTCTGATTATCCCTTTTGATAAATAAATAATAATTAATTAAAAAAAAAAGGAATCTTTATTGATTGGAATATCAACTATTGTGCCAAAGTTTCAATCTTGGGTTTTTTTTAAAGCTCTGATTCTCAGCTCAGAATCTGATTCTTAGTGATTTCTAGAAGCTTCTAATAGGTATATACAATGTGTGTTTGTGTGTGTGTGTGTGTGTGTGTGTGTGTGTGTGTGTGTGTGTGTGTGTGTGTGTTTTAAACCGAATTTTTGAATTAATTTGCTTATGTTGTTGCTGCAGAATTCATAATTCATGTGTATTTAGGATGGGTTTGTGTTGGAATGTTCTTCTGTTGCTGTCGCTTCATTTAGGCATTTTATCGAACGGGTTGAGTGCGAGTGCTTCTTCTTCGTCTTCGAGGCCGAAGGTAGTGAATGTTGGAGCTATTTTCACGCTCGATTCTACTATTGGAAGAGTTGCCAAGATTGCCATTGAAGAAGCTGTTAATGATGTCAACTCCAATTCGAGTGTTCTCAACGGAACGAAACTCGTCGTGGATATCCGAAATTCAAATTGCAGTGGATTTCTCGGTTTGGTCGAAGGTACAAATTTTAACTCCCTCAATAATTTTTTGTTGACACTTATTTATCTCAAGAATCGATTATGAGAAATGGAAGAGAAACGATTCGGGTTTATTGACAATGTTCGATGATCTTAGCACAATTTCTATATACCTAGGAGTGAAAATTGGAAAGGACATTCCGAATTCCTCCGATTCCGACTTTGAAAAACACATTTTTCATTCCGAATTTTGATTTTTTTTTTTGTTTTGGAACGGAATTAGGAATGATTCCAATTTCGATAGATATTGATATCCGAAAATATTTCCAAAAATTCCGACTTTTTTTTCCCCGAAAATTACACTTACAGCTTCAATATTGTTATGTATTTTGTATTATAGGTGACTAAAAAATTGGAATTTTCGAATTCATCTATTCCGATCCGAAAATTCCGATTCCGGAACAATGTTCCGTCATTCCAATTTCCAAAATTCCGATTTCCAATTTTTCCGAATTTTATTTTAACAGAATTGGGAATTACTTTCACTTCCGAAAAAAAAATATTCTTTTTCTTCGAAAATGCTAATTATTCGATTTGTCCGATTTCCTTAACATTCATAGACTGACAGGATAAAGAAGCTGATCTTTACAAATTTCAATTTTCTTGCAGCTCTCCGATTCATGGAAACCGACGTAATGGCAGTAATCGGGCCGCAATCCTCCGTGGTAGCCCACACAATACTCCACGTAGCCAACGAGCTTCAAACCCCGTTCCTCTCCTTCGCCGCAACAGACCCCACTCTCTCCTCTCTCCAATTCCCATACTTCCTCCGAACAACCCAAAGCGACCTCCATCAAATGACCGCAATCGCCGAACTCGTCGAGCACTACAACTGGAAGGACGTAATCGTAATTTTCATCGACGACGACTACGGCAGAAATGGCCTCTCCTCGTTGGACGACGCCCTCTCGTCGAGACGTTGCCGCGTCTCCTACAAGGCGGGGATCCCACCGGGCGACATCACCCGTAGTGACATCATGGATATTCTAGTCAAGGTTGCCCTAATGGAGTCGCGCGTCATCGTCCTCCATGCGTACCCGCATGTGGGGTCTGTCGTGTTCGACGTGGCGCACTATCTTGGAATGATGGACGAGGGCTACGTCTGGATAGCAACCGATTGGCTCTCGTCGGTTCTTGATTCTTCTCCACTGCATTTTTCCGAAGCTATTACGGCTTCTACTCAAGGGGTTCTTGTTCTTCGTCAACACACGCCCGATTCGGAGAAGAAACGGGAATTTTTAACGAGATGGAATAAATTAACCAAGGGTTCTTTAGGGGTAAGCACGTACGCGCTCTACGCTTACGACACCGTTTGGTTACTAGCTCATGCTATAGATTCGTTTATTAATCAAGGTGGGGTTATTTCTTTTTCGAACGATTCGAGTTTAGTGAATTCGTTGCAAGAAAGTAATCTCAACCTCGAAGCGATGTCCATTTTCGACGGAGGTCCACTTTTAATGAAGAATATCTTGGAGAGTGATTTCGTTGGCCTAACGGGGCCCGTTAAATTCACTCCCGAAAAATCTCTTGTTTTTCCATCTTACGAGATTGTGAATATAATCGGAACCGGTCTACATAGAGTTGGCTATTGGTCGAATTATTCGGGATTATCGGTTGTGGCACCCGAGATATTATATTTGCAGGGCCCGCCTAATCGTTCGAGCGCGAACCAGTTATTGAATGGTGTGGTTTGGCCCGGGGAGACAACAAGGGCCCCACGTGGGTGGGTGTTTCCGAATAACGGGAAGCAATTGAAGATCGGTGTGCCGCGTAGGGTTAGTTATCGGGAGTTTGTGTCGCAGGTTTCGGGGGCGAATACGTCAAAAGGGTTTTGCATTGATGTGTTCACTTCTGCGGTGAATTTGCTGCCTTACGCCGTTCCTTATCAGTTTGTACCGTTTGGAAACGGGGTCGAAAATCCAAGTTACGACGAGCTAGTGAAGTTGATCACTACTGGAGTAAGTATGAGAATTAATTAGAGTTTTATTTCATTTTGTACCCCTATGTTTTATCAAATTGTTAAAAAAACTCCCCGTGTTATCAATATTAGCCAAAAAAACCCCTTATAATGCATTTTTTTAGGGTCTCGTTTGATAAAAAAATGAACCTTAGGGGCTTGTTTCTAATATTAAAGATTTTGTAATGAAGTATATTTTCACGACCACATTTAATTGAGCTCGTTTTTTTTTTTGTTTTGTTAATTGTGTAGTATTTTGATGCGGTGGTTGGTGATATTGCGATTGTGACGAACCGAACAAAGGTTGTTGATTTTACGCAACCTTACGCAGCGTCGGGGCTTGTGGTGGTGGCCCCCGTGAAGAAGTTGAATACAGGTGCTTGGGCTTTTCTACGGCCGTTTTCTCGACAAATGTGGGGAGTTAGTGCCGCTTTTTTCGTCTTTATCGGGATTGTTGTTTGGACTTTGGAGCATCGGACTAATGACGAGTTTCGTGGGCCGCCGAAGCAGCAGCTCATAACGATTTTATGGTGAAAATAAATTTTGATTTGAATAAATTATATAAAAAAAAGTTTATTATTTAATATACATATTACTTCTCTCATGCAGGTTCAGTCTCTCGACTCTATTTTTTGCCCACAGTAAGTCGACGTATTCTCATAATACGACGAATTAAATTCGAATAATTTCATCGATTCTTGATTTTTATCTGTTTTTAAAATGCAGGGGAGACTACAGTGAGTACGCTCGGGCGATTAGTGCTAATAATATGGCTATTTGTGGTACTAATAATAAACTCGAGCTACACGGCGAGTTTGACGTCGATTCTAACAGTACAACAGCTTTATTCTCCGATCAAAGGAATCGAGACCTTACGAGAAGGAAATGACCCTATTGGATTTCAAGTCGGATCTTTTGCCGAACATTATTTGAGAGAGGGAATTGGGATACCTCAATCGAGGCTCGTGCCACTTGGCGGTCCCGAAGCGTATGCGGAAGCTCTTCAATTGGGCCCCGAGAAAGGTGGGGTTGCGGCTGTCGTTGACGAGCGGCCGTATATCGAGCTTTTCTTGGCGAGTCAATGCAAGTTCAGGATTATTGGTCAAGAGTTCACTAAAAGTGGATGGGGTTTTGTAAGTACACAATCTATCTATTACTATTATATTTTATTGGCAAATTACGGCCACCCCCTGAGTTATGGTCAAATTACGAAAACCCCCCTCATGTTTGGGTAATTACAGCCACCCCCTCAACTATGTATTATCTTACGAAAAGACCCCTCTAGATGTAAATTTAGGGATGTTAATTCGGTCAAAACCGAACCGAAATTTCGGTACTCCAACATTTCATACCATTTACCGAACTAAATATACGATTTGGTTCGGTAAATAACCAAATTACATAAATTTTATGTAAAAATGTTTAAAAGGAGGGGGTGGCTGTAATTACCCAAAACAAGAGGGGTTTTTTTATAATTTGGCCATACCTCAGGGGTGGCCGTAATTTGCCCTATATTTTATTATATCTCAATTGCTTTTTTTTTTTTTTTCTTTTTTCTTTGGAAGAACTCGGAATTTGAAATTCCATCTAATTAGACGCAGTAGATTTCGTTATTACGGATTTGAAATCCTAAAAAAGCTCGAAAATTCTTGAAATTAAGTTTCCACTTATTGCTAAATTCCTGCCATTTTTTTTTGCAGGCATTTCCACGAGATTCTCCATTGGCAATCGATTTATCGACCGCGATCCTAACACTCTCCGAAAACGGAGATCTCCAACGAATACACGACAAGTGGCTAACAATGAGCACTTGCAGTTCAGACAACACCGAGCTCGAGTCGGATCGGCTTCACCTAAAGAGCTTTTGGGGACTCTATCTTCTATGTGGGATAGCTTGCTTCATCGCTCTCCTAATATACGTATTCCAAATCTTTCATAGGTTTCGACACGCTGCCACGGAGGATTACAGCCCCGATGGTGGACCCTCAGGTGGGGGCTCGCGCTCCAAACGCCTTCAGACATTGTTATCCTTAATCGACGAGAAAGAAGATTTGTCGAAAAGAGATAGGAAAAGAAGAAAGATCGAGAAAGAAAACGACTTGGAAATGGATTCGAAGCGAAGCCATTCGCAGGTTTGTTCCTCCGAGAATAATAGCTTTAACTTGAGGAGTTGAATTTTTTTCGTAGATTAATTTGTATAATTTTTATATGAATTTAAAAAGGACTATATAATTTGTACAATCTAAAAAAAATCAGTGAACAATTGTACATAATAGTTATTACACATGCATTTAGTTCTACATTTCGTACACGGACAACAACGTACACGTTCGATAAAAATCTAATCTTTATGTCGAAAAAAGACTCGATTTGATTACAAATTGGAAGTATGCCAGTACAATTTTAATCGACGAAATGCAATTACTAGAAATACATATACGTATTTATATACTTGTTAGGCAAAATATTCTACATCGAGATGCAAGTTTAAACATGTACAATTCGCTAACAACAACGTCGAATACAAAATCAAGATTAAAACCTAGTATTTCTGAAGTACTTTTGAAATAATTCTTCATCTGCACAATACCTAAGAAATATTTGGTACACCTCTATTAAAAGACTAGGGAATCGGGTCGAGAAATAAGAGTCGAAGCCTTCGGGGACGGACCCTAATATTGCTTGAATTTCTTTCGGAAGTTCCCTATAATGATTCAACTTATTTCGTATTACCCGCAATAAATCACGCACGCTGTCGAACTTGTAACGCCGGTAGCGGCTGATGTCATTGATGAAGGCATTTTCCATCTTTTCGTCCCATTTGCAGCCCAAAGCAACCCTCCCCCGATCCTCCAGTGCTTCTAGAAGCTGCGACGCTTCCTCCCTGTCCTCCAGCTCGACTCTATCGCTAGCATCTCGAAGAAACGAGAGCCTCGTTTCGGAGTCCCAAAATAGAGGGTGAACCATTACTTCCGTAGCCGTTGGCCTATATAACACAATCATATAAAAAGTTATTTATATAATTGTTAAATCGATATTTTAATCTAGTGACAGGGGTATAATAGTCATAGAAAACGTTACGAAACATAAAACATTGATGCTTTAAATAAAGGATATATTACCTCAACTCCAATTTAGCATCGAGAAGTTGAGAAACGAGATTCGTAGCTTCGGGGATATGTTCGATTAAAAAGAGGTCTTTTCGATCATTGACTATGTTGACATCCCGTTCAAGACTTTCCCCGAAGGGGTGTTTGCCTCCGGTCATGCAGAAAAACAGAATGCAGCCTAAACTGAATAAGTCTACGGCTCGAGTTTGCCGTTCTTGACGGAGTTGTTCCGGCGCTTGCCACCCTGAACTACCCGATCCTACTCAAAAAGAGAATCACTCGTTTTACGTTTCAATTATTTGAAAAGTGGTTTAATTACTCGACAAACAAAACCGTAGATAGTACTAACCCGTGGCATGATTCGTTAACGACGACATCTCTCCATCTAAGTGCTTGCTAATACCCATATCGGAAATTTTCGCGGATATTGGTCGATCTTTAATTACAAGAACATTTTGAGGTTTCAAGTCCCGATGTATAATCTTGAGTTCGTGCAAATGGGCAAGTCCACATACAACGTCCCTGTGGTCAACACGTTACATTATAAACACTCGATCATGGTTGACACAAATTTACGGGAAAAAAAAAAAGCAAAAAAAACAAGCATGCTAAGATCATTATTTTACGAATCAGATGCATCGATCGGCCACGCAAGAGTACCTCATTAATTTTAGCAACGTTGCAGATGGATAGCCGTTATCCTTCCAGAGTTCGAGCTCCGTGTTACTTCCGAGAGTACTTAGCAATTGCGTATCCCAAAGAACGAGACTCGGAGATTCATGATTTCGGTCGTTGGTAGTTACTTGACTGTGAGAAGTGCAAAACGAAATCAAATCATGTAGACTGCACGTGCAACGCTCCAGACACAGATAGACGAAATCCTGATCGTATTCCACTCCATGCCATCGAACAATGTTCGGATGCCGATCGGACGTAATAAGGTTTTGGATCTCTTTCACAGCCACACTATGGTGGGTCCGGACGAGGCGTTTGACAGCCACCGAACGGCCCTCGTAATTTCCTTCGAGAACAATGGTCCCGTTGCTCCCCTTTGCGATTTGTTTATTCGTCACAATCAATTTACCAATCTTACGTCCAATCGTAGAAGTATCGTAACTACTTTGAGAAAAATCCTCTTGCTTTTCCCCAACAACAGTACCGTTTTTACTATTTTTCCGATTTTTCCTCTTTTTGGGTGTTACGTTTTGCAATTTAAGATCTTCGGACAAATGACTTATCCCACCCTTTCTCCGAAAAAATACGAAAACCACGGCTATTATCCCCAATGCGGAATATAGCATAGCAGACCAAAATTGAGGTTGTGCTAGCCTATCGAATTCAATACGGCCACTGATTTGAGGAAGACTCCGATTTTTAAGTTCGTTACGGTCGGGCGTAGGAAGAGCAAGCGGGGATTCTTTTTCGTAGCTTCGATAAGGAGCTAATAAATTGTTCAACGGCTCTATAGCAAGGTGATCCGAAGCCGGTAAAGAAAGAACTCCTCCTTCTCCTCCTCCGGGAAGCGCGTCTCGAAGCCCGTTAGCTTTAAAAAGAGGCTCGAGAGAGCTACGATCACGTATGCGGTAGACCACGGGCCGTTTCTGACAATGCATCGGCAACTTCACATCAAGCCGTTCGAATTGTTTATCGTTCGGAAACCCGCCCAAGAAATTTTCTATCCCTTCGCATTTAAACGAGGCTTCGATATCGGCAAACATTAAATACCACAAAACTTTCCCCGTTTTCACCGAGGTGTACTTCAAAGCATAGTCTGTTCTCGTAACGTAGAGTGGTTTCTCGGTGGCTTCGTCGTCTTCATCCGCAGACGAACTAGGTGGAAGCCATTCTTCGATATCGGTCCTTGTCAAGATAGAAGCTTCGTCGTCGTCCTTCTCAACCGGTGGAAGGTTGTCGGATCTAATCGTACGAACGACTTTTCCCGTTTTAGCATCGACGAGGAATACGGCAGTTCTCTTTGATCCCAACATAACACCACCACCATCTGATACAAATGGAGTCCGCTTTACGAATTCTTCCGCACTTAGTGGAAGCTTCTGCAATGAGACATACGATTTTTGCGAGTATTAGGTACGAAACAGAACATCGTAACTACACGAAAATATATTTAAGAAAAAAAAAAAACAAGACGTACGACTTTCTTTAGGCCAGTTCCGTGCATGTAGAGTTCCCAATCTTCACCACAATCGATGTAAAAATTATCGCCATCGGTGGAGGTGTTGAGCTTTTCTCCTTCGTGATCGGGGATTTTTTGATACGAGGAATAAATTGAAGGGCCCGATGAAAACGACCAGAGGATTTTTCCGGAACCAATCTCCACTAAGTATACAGTTCCGTCGGGTGCAGCCACTATTGCTGTATCATGTTTGCTGATTTTAAATACACAGAGTATCAGAATACAGCAGAAATTACTTCTCGTCAATAATCGATCATTCGATCCCACAAAAGAATGAATCTTTTTTTCCATTTTCATGATTATTTTATTCAATGTAAAAGAAATGTTTCGAAGAAATGTGAAAACAAAATGTAATCGTTTATCGAAAAAGCAATTCCTTCGAATCTACGACATCCCAAAATCACTTGCAAAACCTATCAAATGCCCCAACTCATGAAATTAAATAAAAATGTAAATTAATTCCAATACTAAAAATGATTATATTTTCAAAATTAAATATTTCATCAAAACATCAACACGAAGCAACCCGATTTTACCGAAAAACACACAAAAAAAAATTAAATAAAAAAAATAGATCCCAGACAACTTCAGAACATCCAAAATTCAACCAGATAATAAATAAAAAAAAATACATAAACCCATAATTAGATTTACACGACTTACGATGTCAACGGCAACGGCAAATTATCCGAACCCGGTTCCGATTCGGAGCTTGAATGAACCCCAAGAACAATTGCTAAAATTAATATTAAAATAAATAAAATAGGAATCAATAAACCTCTCATTTCTAGATCTCTGAAGAATTGTTGTGAATTTGGGAGAGAGAGAGAGAGAGAAAAAAAACAATTAAATCATATTTATTTTTTTGTTCTCTCTCTGGGGTTTTCGATTCATACGGAGGAAGACAAAGATTAGATAAAATCTTTTTTTTTTTTTTTTCTTTTTTTTTTTTTGAGTTTTGCAAAATCTTATTGAAGAGAGAAACGGCCGTTACAAGTAACTGTTATTCATTTGGGGGCGCGTTTGGCACAATCGATGAAAGACGCGTGCAGCTTAATTGGAATATTTTATTTTACTTCAGTCATAAATGGACCACTATTTTATATGGGATTAATTTGAATGAAATTAGAGTGGGGTTAATTTCTTAATAACTAATTAAGAGTTTAGTAAAGTAATATATTGGATTTCTTGTATTAGATTTGGTATTAAAATTATTACAATATAGTATTAAATGAGATTTTTTTTATAACATTTCTAATTTAGCAATAATCATATCTTAAATTATATAATTTAAAAATAACATTCCCTAATTTAACAATAATCATATGTTAAATTATACTATTTTATGGATACAATTTCTTTTTTTTCCTATTTAGTACCTACCTAAAAAAGTAATCTATGGTGTAGGACAATTACTAATGTCAAATTATATTGAATAGTAGCATCTCATTGTAGATTAGATATTTATAGCGGACTTTAGTTAATAATTTTCTCGACCCGAACATGCTATTAACTCCGACTATTTGCTTTGTTAGAAGTTTTAAAAATTATCGAAGTGGTACATTATATTACAAACATATTGTGAGATAGGACTGCGAAATAATAAACCTCTTTGTTTAAAAATATATTTACCCGTCGAAGTAATTGTTCGTCAAAACTTTTAACATCTAGATAACTCGAGTGAAAAAAAAATGAGTATGAGTAAAATAATTTATATTTTGGGGTCATTTGATATACACCCCTAACATGGAAAATATATAGGTGTAGATTCACCCCTATAATTCTTTCTTTGAGATACCCCTGGAGAGATAAAAGTACTATTGTGCCCTTATGTGCAATTTTCGTCCAATCACATTAAGCATTTCCACCAACTGCACTTGACATTTTTGGACCTGCATTTATCATTTTCATTGATTTTTAATTTTAATAAATTTCGTTTTGTTTATGTTTTTATTCCAATATATATTTTACTATTTTTGTAATTATTACTATATATTTTTATAATTTTTTTTAATCTTTCAAATTTTTTTAATTTATTTTACTTTTTAATTTTTTTTAATTTATTAAAATTTTTATATATATTACATTTGATTTAATTTTATCCATTCTAATTGGATAGCAAGCTTATTTGCCAAGCTTAATTACATTAATGACCAAGGTCATATCAAACAAAAAGATCATTTCAACTCATTCTAATATAGTCCTTAGATTAGAGAGATAAGTTAAAAGTTGGTAAAAGAGCTTATAAGTTAAATGAAAGGATTCAACATATAGCTTAAACATAGAGCTTATTTATAGAGTATAATTAGAATGAATTGTACAAGAAACTTATTTGAGAGCTTAATTATATTAATGGTGAAGAGCTAAACAAATAAACATGCTTTTACGTAGTGTTAAGAGAAATCTTAATTAGAGAGTCCAATTATGTTCATGGTTAGGATATTAACAAACAAACATGCATTTCAATCAATTTTTAGTACGTAAATAACATAATTAGATAGCTTAATTAGTTAGTTATAAAGTAAACATAATTCAACATTGCAAATTGTAGTTATAAGAACTAGAATCATGTTATCTCTATTTCAATGATGAGTATATGCAGTTTTTGCAGAAGGATAAATTTCCCAAATACGTAAGTTCAATTAACGATATATTGGATTCGTACGATGATGTCGATAATTTGAAAGAATTCACAATCGATGTGCCTTCTTTCAAGGGTTCCAACCCCGAGAGGTGGTTCGAGTTTGCATTATCATCCAAAAATATCGAAGTCATCGCAACAAACATGACGTATTCCTCCAACAACAATAAACATGTACTCACGGAAACAGATAAGCCATGATATTAAAAACAAGAACACGAATCAATTCACGCAATAAAAGATCAAAATCCGCACTAAGATTCGAGACAAGACATGGCACAACAAAAAGCAACCAAAATCTCGATGTGTGTGTGTGTTGTTGATTAACAGTAACAACAAAGATGTTCTTACCTCTTACTCGATGCAAAAATACGGAAATTGAGCAACGAAGGGAATCGAGTGAAATGAGCTGATTCGGAAACGAATTTGGGCTCCAGGTTAATTCGACATTAAAATATAAATATTAGTGTTCATGTATACAAAATTATCTGAGAAAAAAGGGACAGTAGTACTTAAGCTATGCCAAATATGCTCAGAAATCACGATCCTAATCATCATTTAACAATTCATATGTTCTTATATGACATCAAAGTTTACCGACAAGGACGAGTGTTTTCTTTCGACTAACGATTTACCCATGAAACATTAACCGGTGTTTTCTGAACTAAGCTCAGTTTATCAATATTAGTACGATGTAATCAAGGTTCGCAAATTGCATGAATCCTTTCGGAATCCATTGTAGTTCACAAAAAAAAAAAAAAAGAGCAAATCGTTGTCCACAATAAACCTCAACGTAAAACAAAACGCAAGAAGGTGAAATTCAAATTCTCCCAAGAAAGGAAATTACTGATAAGCATAGACACGGCCATGGGCCGGTTCGGGCCGGTTCACTCCGGTTCGCGGTTCACTTTTTTCGGAACTGAAACCGGCCCGTACTATACACGATTCGGCTGGCTGGGCCGGCCCGCCAGTTCACTTTGGTTCCGGGTCTATCCGGGCCGGTTCCGGGGCGGCCTGAAAATTTATATTTATATATATAAATATTTTTTTTTGAAAATACTTGATGAATAAATAAATTAAAATAATTACTTTTAAATAGGAAATAAATAAAAGGACTTGAACTTAATTTTATAGGAAAAATGGGGTGTGAAGGTATTAATAGGAAAAAAATGGGGGGGGGGGAATTCAAAAAAGAACAAATAACGGCCGGTTCACTGGGTCGGTTCATCGGGCCGGTTCAGCTTTTTAAAGCTTTTGTTAGTTTTTTTTTTATTTTTTTTTAAATTCGGGTGAACCGCCGGGCCGGGCCGGCGGTTCACGGTTCACCTATCTCTAGAATCGGGCCCGATCTGAGGTACACGAGCCGGTTCACAGTTCCGGGACCGGTTCACCGGTCAACAGGTCAATCCGGTTCGTCAACGGGTCGGTTCTGAGCCGAAAACCGGCCAATGACCGTGTCTATATTCAACAATTGAAATCTCTCAAACATCGAATTTCAAAAAGAACAAACTATAGTAGCAATCAACATATGCAAAACAATAGAAAGAAAGAAATCTCACTCTTCAATCTTCGAACAATAAGCAAACACTTCCACATTTCGCCTGGTTAGTGGCTTGATGCATAAATTTTGCCTTTAAATCCATGCTGCTTCACCAATTCATTGATAAACAGAAGTTCTTTCGTCGATGTTGACATCAGAGCCAAACATTCACTGTAAATCTTCTTCCTGATATTCAAATTCTTCTCCATCGAGCTGAAAATTGGGGGAAATCAACTTGTTCTTATATTTCGTATAAGGCTACGTACACTTTCCCAAAGTTCCACTCTAACTTCTCCTACTACGATAACTGTCCCTTCCCACCTTCGTTTATGTTTTAAAAGCAACTTAAGACCTTCCAACTCTTCTGAAGCAGTGATCGTGATGGTCGTCTTCGTCTTGTCGTCCAATGAGTCAAGGCAACTTTCCAACTTTATTTCATCTCCCTTAACCTGAAACACTATTTATTAGTAAGAAATTAATCTTCGTCGAGTTCCCCATCGCTCTCGTCACTATATTCCTCGTCACTTGATTCTTTATAGCTAGTATCCTCGTATAAATTTCGACTGTCCATTATTAATGATTGGTTGAAGTGAGGGTGAGTAGATTTTAGATGATATGAACCGAAGTAGAAAGGGATATTTATACTACTCCACTTTCCAAATAGATGGTGATGATTGATTACGATTGTCAGGATCCCTTAAAGTTTTATGTATATTTTAGAAATTAACTACAATAGATATCCATTAAAGTTTTATTTATATTTTAGAAATTAACTGCAATATATAGGTTTCTACAAAAATTCTAGAATTCTCATTAATAATAATAATATGGTTAATAGCATTTTGCCACCCGTACTTTGTCCGTTTTTGTAATTTGCCATGTTAGCAAAAAGAATTTGCAAGAGCACACGCAAGCCTGTTATTTTGACCCACTTTGTCACCTAAGGCGGATTTTCAAGCGAAATTTCACATATTCAGGCGCACGCGCGAGGCACATGATTAAGTGCGAGGGCTTTTTCGTCTTTTTATCTGAAGATATCATATGTAGGTGAAATTGAAAGTTCCAAGGACTCAATTGAACTTAATTTAACATTTATCCAATTTCTTGATTTTGGCCCTACATTATGCTCTTCTTCTTTCTTAATTTTCTTTCCCATGATTTTTTGACACTCTCGATTCCACCTTCTCTCGCAACCAATAACATCAAATCAGCCTCACCAGACACCAAATCACACACTAACACCTAATTTCTTTCGCCGCAATGCACCACAAAATACACATTTATAATAGTATAAAGATAATATTCTCCTAAGTAGATCTCTGCCAAATCTCTCCAGTTTACTAAGTTTCGCAGAACTCCAGTTGTTTGACAATTTTTAACAACAACGATCTCACCCCTGAATTCAATTGTCATCCAAAAATTCAAGAAGGAGAGAGGAAAAATAACCCGTCGCTACGAAATCTACCCCGATGGCTTATTGGATCTTCGCCGTCGAACATCCTCGCATATATGTGCAATGTTGTATCATTAACCTTATGTGGATGAAACGAGAACATATAGGTAGGTTTCTGTTCAATGCATCATTAGATAACAGGTCACCCCATTTACCTGGACGACTGTAGTTTGACTTATTTTTCTTCAAAATTTCATTCAAGTTTACCTACGAGTATTTAATTTTCAAATAACATCTTGCATTTGGGAAAACTTGGCCGTCAAACTATCTGTTTCTCTACTTGTTGAAATAACATTCTCTTATGGAGTAGAAATTATTACCTTCAACTCGTTGTTTTCTTCTATCAGAACATGCGTTTCCTTTTCAAGGACTTTATTGATTCACATACCTCAAGAATTTTTTTTATGCATCCTTGCATAGCAATTCTTATTGTAGTTTGTATTTATAGCTTCAAATCTCATTTTTCAATCCGATAACAACTCCAATCTATCGATTGCAAAAGAACTGTTTTGAATTGACGAACACCGTGTCCTCTCGGCAAAATGCACAAGTCCAATTCCATTATGGAGGGATGAGGCAATTTGTTCCAAGTACCCATCTTGTCATGAACTCCTATATTGCATACTTAATTCACCTCAGAACTAAATCCAAAAATATAATTTGACATAAAAATAAAATATGACTGCATGTGATTGATATCAACAACAATTCAATATATATATATATATATATATATATATATATATATATATATATATATATATATATATAATATTAATTTTTACTGGGGAAGAATAGAAAAAATGGGAAATTATATAGTGCGTCTATATTTTTTTCTTTCTTTTGAGATGAATGAAGCTGATGAGAATATATAACGATGCTGAAATTGAACGAGCATCAAATAGGCAATATTCTTTTCTTTTACATATGTAAAGGTGAAAGTCGGATAGATCGAATCCGAATTAGTCTTTTTGGAAAATTTCTAAAACTTTTTGAAACTACAAAATTAATTCCAATTTCAAACTTTTCGGAATCTAAAAAATCATTCCAATTCCAAAAGGCCCGAAAATTTAGGAAGTTCGAAAAAAATTCGAAAATCACTTAAGTTTTAAAATTTCAAAACTTAGCGGAATTTTTTTGAAATTTTCATAATTTTCTAAAAATAAGAACATCCACGTCGATTAACGTAAAGCAAATAACTACTAAATTCCAGTTCATAAGAATAAATTAAAATAAACAACATCAGAATATTCAATAAAACTTCTGACAACAATTCAATTTCAATATGTCAAAATTCTAAAACAAACTTAATCAAATTATTGCTTCAGAAAACAAAACAATCTTAAAATAAGTATTATATAATACATTTATTTATAGGTGTATTTTTCGGAAAAAAGCTCGAAAGTTTTCGGAATTAGTTTCGAAAATTAAATCGGATCGAAAATCGAAAATTCCAATCCAAAAAAATCGGAAAATATCGAAAATTGGAATTCAGAAGTCAGAATAAAAAAAGTTGTTCCAAAATCGAAACTTTTCGGATCGGAACCGACGGAAATTTGAATTTTCGTTCCAACTTGCACCCCTAATCAAATCAAATGCCTAATTAATTGTGTCGTAATTTCAAAGTTTTCCCTTTCCCGCCTATTAAATTTGTCAAAAGCTTTGTAAATTCAAATAAAAATAATATCTAGTATTTTTTTAATAATTATAAAATTACCTTTTACGTTCTACTAATAACGTTCATGCCCCTTCACAAAACATCATTTCACAAAAATAGAAACAATTAAATTTAAATTTATCACACACACCCCTTCACACAAAAAAAAAAACCTAATAGACATGACCCTTCAAATTGTTACCCCTCCAAAAACTATATATACACACACATACACACAATTGCATTATAATTCATTCAAAATTTCAATTTATTGTTCCATAATACAAATATCTATATCGATCTATATATCACGACCACGAGATGGCAAGAACTCTGATTATCGCGACCCGCGTGATTGTGGCGGCTCTAGTGGTGGCAATGGTGGTGGCAATGGCGGCAGAAGCGGCGGAGCGAAGCGGGAGCATGCATTGCATGACGGAGTGCTACTTCGAATGTATGCAAATCTCGATATTCAACGAGGGCGAGTGCAAGAGAGAGTGCACAATTGCTTGTGCAAAGCAAGTTACTATTAGAAAAGCATCAATGGAAGAAGATCAAAATGAATTCTTTCCTCTATGGATATAAATAATTAAATGTATTATGAGTCTAAATAAAGACTTAACAAGGTAGAGAATAGTCTCCTTGTCATTTATATTTTTTTCTTTCTTCAAGAGAATATTGATTATTAATTAGTGGTTCAATTTTGTACTACGAATCCTGTTTTTTTTTTAAGATTATATTTATAAATTAAGAATTTTATTAATATATTTCGAATTTCGGAAAATTGATATAATTTCATATTTTTTCCAAGGAACTGAGTTGACTCATGTTACGATTTGTCGAATTGTGCTTTGACCAAATTAATACATATACATTTTTAATGTTAATAATAATTAATTAATATTTGAACATGGTGGATTCTACTAATCCAAAGGTGGAATTATGAGTATGATGAATGAAGTTTGACTTATTTATTAGGGAGCGTTTGGCACCTTCAATTAAAAATGCGCCTGCAACTTAATTGATATTTGACTTAATATAATAAGTCAACGTTTAACAAATTTTACACACATGAATTCAACTTCTTCGGTTTTTTTTTTTTTTTTTTTTTTTTACTTTATTTTTTCTTTCTACTTCCAAAATATATTTTTCCAACATTTTTAAAAATAATTTAAATGCTAAATTGTCACACCTATTATATAACCTTGATATATATTTTTAGCAACCACATCTTAAATAAAAAAAATTATTATTATTAATTTAAAAACATTTTTTTTCTTGATTATGCAGCCATTTCATTAAATTATATTAATTTTTGATTAAATTCTATTACTTTTTTACCACGCAATTCAAATTTTATAAATTTTTTTACCGGTCAGTATTACATTTATTTATATATATGGTGTGCCAATTTTTTGTGGATCACCAAAAAAAATATGAGGGACCGAAAATATTGGCTCGTAATATTTTTTATAGAAATTAAAATCGGAGTTATGAAAGATTAATAAATAATCTCATCTTAATTCGAACCCACAATTTTCAAATATAATTTTAATTATACTAAGCAAGTCCATGGTCTACATTAATAACATTAAAATGGATATTAAATTAGTCAAAAGTAACCTTTCTTCAAAAAATAAAATAAAATGATACTATATACCAAATTAACTACTAATATTCATTAATCTTTTAACAATATAATATATTATATATATTGTATTACAAGAAAAATATTGTTAGTTATGAAACAATTAGACTAGATATACATTTAAATTATTATATCCATAGAGGAAAGAATTTATTACTATCATCTTCTTCCATTGAAGCTTTCCTAATAACATCCCTTGCACAAGCAAGTATGCACTCTCTCTTGCATTCGCCCTCGTTGAATATCTTAATTTGCATGCACTCGAAGTAACACTCCGTCATGCAACCGCTTCGCTCCGCCGCCACCAGAGCCACCGCTATCATGGTTGGGATAACCGGAGTTCTTGCCATTTCTTGATGTTGATTTATCGATATATGTGTGTGAGTGTATAAATTAATGAACAAAGAATTGTACAATTTGGAATGAGTTTTAACTTCTAATGCAAATGTGTGTGTTTTGTGTGTGCGTTAGTGTGTGTGTGTGTATATATAGTTTTTTGGAGGTGTAACATTTAATTTAGGGGTCACGTCTTTAAATTAGGTGTAATGGGAAAAAAGGCTTTTTTTGTGAAGGGGTGTGTGAGATTTTAAATTTGTTTCTATTTTTTTTGTGAATTGAAGAAGTTAATAATAGACCGGGAAAATGTAACTGATTTTTGTATTAAATTCAAATTGGATTTATGTATTCATAAAATAAAAAGAGTAAACTGCAAAAAGTACCCTTCTATAATCTCTAAATAGCGAAAACCCTCCTACAATAAATAAACTAGCAAAAAACCCCCTGTGAAATTATTTAAATAGCACACTCGGCCCATTTCTCATTTGAGTGTTGACTTCATATAAAAAGACACAAATACCCCCGGGATTTTGCAATTAATAAATTCTTATATTTTTTAAATATTTTAATTATTTTATTTTTGTTATATCTTAATTATAAAGGTACAATGGGATCTTTAATTTATGTTTTTTTTTATTATCACATAATTTTTGTATATATTTTAAATTACCGCTACATGAAAAGAGGGTACTTTTTGTAGTTTACTCAAAATATAAACTATCGGAGGGCATTTGAGTCTTTTTATATCAACAAAACTCATTTTTTTTTTGACATGGGCTTTATTGTTGACTAGTTTTTAAAGGGGAGTTTTTGCTAATTGTCTTAATACAAGGGCGTTTTCGGCAATGTGGAATTACATAGGGATTATGTGCGATTAACTCAAATTTCATTTGATTTATATGACTATCTTAAAAATAGAAGTCAAACTAATTATAGTCTACTAAAATTAATTTAATTAGGTTGGGAGATATTAATAATAAGAAAATTTGTTAAAACTACCTCGAAAATTGTATGAATTACTTGTTAGAACTTCACGGAATGAAGCAAATTGATTCAGCCACTAATAGTCGGGTAATTGGGATTTTGCACCCTGCAATTATGCTCATTTGACACTCTGCACCCGTGAATTAAAAATATGGTAGATAACACCCTCAAATTAAGATTTGCTTGGCACATAGCACCCCAATTCACTTTTCTGCTAAACTTTGCGTCCGAATAAATGATCTTACCATATTTCAATGGGCAAAATGGTCAATTATTGTTAATTACATCCGTGAACGAGGAAGAATATAAATATTTTATGTAATTAAAAAGGTTGGTAGTGAATTTATTCACAAATTTACCCTTTTCGTTCCCCCGATATCATTTTATTCTACTACTATTAGATTCTGAGGTGCACTATGCCAAGTAAATCTTAATTTGAGGTGCAATCTGTCATATTTTTAATTTAAGGGTGCAAAGTCTCAAATGAGCATAATTGCAGGGTGCAAAATGCCAATTACCCAAGTGTCTTCTAATGAAAATTTGAATTTAAGTAATTAAGCATATCTTTTCAACATAAAAAAAGTTTATTCCCACAATTAAATTATTAAACTTGAAAAAGAAAATTGGTTCCATAGTCCCTCTTTCCATTGTCAAATTATTACAAAAAATTAAGTAGTAGTAAATACAACAAAAAATTCCCTTCTTAGCTCCTAAAAAACAATTCTTCAGCAGCAGAAAGAAAATAAAAATAAAAATAATAATAATAATAATAATTATTATTATTAAAGAAGAAAATAATTACTCATAAACTTTGCACTCTTCCTCAGAAGGGTTGCCCTTACAGAAATCCTCCAAAGGGTCTCCACTCCCAACTGCACTTACTCCTGGCCATTTGCTTGCCACCAAATGTGCCAAATCCACAACTCTTTGACTGTATTTATTTAATTTAATTAATTTAATTAATTAATAATTAATTAAATAAAATAAACGAACGTTTAATAATTAGAAATGTCACGTTTTTTTTTTTTTTTTTTTCGCGTACGTACCTGTAACCCCATTCATTGTCGTACCAAGCGACGACCTGGACCATATCGTCCCCCATGACCATAGTCAACGAGGAGTCAATGGTGGTCGAGACGTCGGAGCACCGGAAGTCGACCGAGACGAGAGGCTCGTCGCAGACGGCCAATATCCCGGGCCATCGGCCCCTCCGCGGCCTTCCTGAAGGCGGCATTGATCTCCTCCGCGGAGATTCCCTTCTTCTCGACGTTGATGACTAGGTCAACCACCGAGACGTTCGGCGTCGGCACACGGAGAGCGATGCCGTTGAGCTTCCCCTTTAGCTGAGGCAGCACTAGAGAAACGGCCTTGGCTGCACCGGTGCTCGTCGGCACGATGTTTAGTGCCGCGGCTCTGGCCCTACGTAGGTCCCGGTGAGAAGCATCTAGAAGCCTCTGGTCGCCGGTGTACGAGTGAGTGGTTGTCATCGTACCCTTGACTATGCCTGCAAATGCAAATTTGACCACATATTATACATAATTATAATAAATAGCACGATTTTTTTCTTATTTTTCGACGTAAAAAAATTTCGGTCGTCTTACCGAATTCGTCGTCCAAGACCTTGGCGAAAGGAGCCAAACAGTTGGTCGTGCAAGAAGCATTGCTGCATTAATCAATCAAACGAAGATTTTTGTCGATAAATATAATATGCATGAATAAAACATACAAAAGATCATTATAAGGGTGCAAATTGGAATGAAATTTCTGTTTTCCGCCGATTAGGATTGGAATATATATGATATTCCAATTTCCCATCCAATTTTAATTTCCGAAAATTCCGATTTAATCCGAATAAACAATTCAAATTATTCCGAATTTCTGACGATTCCAGTCCGAAAATTTAAAATTTTTGCGACAATGTTTTTCATTCCAATTTCTATAATTACAATATTTGATTTTGAGTTTTCCGATTTTTCCTATATTTGTTTTTTGTAACAGAACATGCATTAGTTTTTCACTTCCGACGAAAATAAAAATAAAAAATCCAAAAGTGCTAAATTTCG